TTAGAAGTTAGAATATATTTCTCACGTCAAATATAAAGGGATGTTTACGTCATTATTCAAATTTTTCAATTCAGTTTCTTTGGTGCAAAAGAATAATGAAGAAATGAAACAGAATAGAATGAAAGGTCTCCTCGGTATGTAGAAAATCTAAAAAACAACACTCTTTTGGTTTCGCTTCGTTTCTATAGAAACACAGTTAATTAAATCAAATCCCATAAAAAAAGTACAGTAAAATTTCCTGTTTGCTTTACTTAATCATCAGTCTATTATAACTAATTGATGCTTAATTGAAGATTAATAGTGGGATTATTTGTCAATAAATATCACGTTCAGATACATTTTCCGCTAAATTGCCTGAATTGAAATTGTGGTTGATTTAATATTGTAAATTTTTTCTTATTCTAATTTAGGAACTTACATAGTAAGCATATATCCCTGGTCTAGACATGTTTTAGATTTGTATCAAGGAAGTTCAGACCTCAAATGAACTTTAAGGACAGTTTGACATGTGACTACTTAAGTAATGTAGAAATATATTAACGCTTTTAGATTTTAAGGGAAAAAAAATCAGTTGTCAAGTAAAATTTGCGGTTTCGCTTTTAAAAGTGCCGATAACTTTTCTACCTTGTCAGCATAAACACCTCTATAAAGATCGCTTACCTCGAGTTTTCGTGACAGATTTGTACACTGGCGAATCGCATATTTCTTTCTGTTCACTTGCAAATCCACGAAGACGTCCAGCCGGTTTTGGACAATCTAAAATATGATCGTCCAAACGTAGAAATTCCTCAAAAAGTAGACAAGTTTGTTCCTCAATTTCTTTCAAAACGTCGCAGTTTTCGCCGTGTTCAACGGGCGTCTTCAAAGGCGCGTCAAACTCATCCATAACTGCTCCCGAAAACAGAGTTTTTCTAAAAATTCAACTCCTCTTTTGTGTTCACTTATTTCTGATCTGTGAAACAGCGCAGTATAAATTACTGAGGTCCAAAACGTGCCTAAATTTCACAATATTCCTCCTCTTCTGAGAAGTCAACGAAGTCTGGGTAAATTTATCGCTTCAAGGGTCAAGGTAATAAACTATGTAGGGGAGGGGCTAGTAGGGGGTCCAGTCAATATGAATCGAGAATTTCTTTCTTCTTTTATTTTCATTTTCAATTCTATTCAGAAATGAAATGGAAATATGCAAAATGTACTAACTTTAGGTAGTTTGAGGTTTTTATAAATAGATAGTGATTTCTGTGACGGTTAAAAATAGGSTTTTGCTACCCTCCCCGTGGCTCTGCCGATGACAAAACAAAAATTGTATGTCACGTTCCGCACGCAATGCAATATATATCTCATGGGGAGAGGGGTAAAGTTGATTAAAAGAATTATTCGGTTTCCTTTCGTAAGTGCATTGGTATAGTGCTTAAATAGCGTTCTATTTTTAAATATTGAACAAATAATCAGAAAAATGACACTTTTGTAACATCCARCAAAAGTTTTCTTTTTTTAAGCACGGTTTCATCGTCGTTGCTCCCTCCCCTCCCACATATCAAARGGAAGTAGGTCCCAGGCCTATCCTGTCAGTTAGCCATTTTGACCACAACACTCCAAAGGAAACCAACGTCTTTTGTATTTTAGTGGAAAACTTAAGCATAGAACAACCAATACTTATAAAATGCCCGATGAGGAAATAGAAGAGGACTTTAAAGAAGAAATGGAGACYGAATCAGATTTTTCAGACGAGGAAACACCGCGACCTGTAGCATCCAAAATGGGCCGGCGAGCTGCTTCGGTGGAGCGCCTGAAAGAAGAGACTCGTCTTGTTTTATTAGACTTTTTAGCAACTTTGCCGGCTGATAAAATCACAGCTAAGCAGCTAACACAGTCAGAAAACCGTCCTGAACGTCTGCAAGAAGCCTTACGTGTTGCAAAAAGCAACAGCGATGCGGCTGCATACGAGTCTAACAGACTAAAATTCCAACAAATGGCTGTTCCTTTGAGGAGGAAGTTATCGTTGAATTTAAAAWGTGAGATTGAGAATTTCAACCCTCGAGTTGCTTTGAGAAGAAGAACTTTGGAAAGGTTTGTATTGTGAAGATTAAGTAATTCAAGTCTTTGTTTTTCTTTCTTTAAGCTTATGCGTATGTAAGAGATAGACTAATGACGAAGTAGCTGCATAAACTTAACTTAAGCTTATTAAGTTAATACTTTCACAATTGCTCACTAATTTCTGACTCATGAATTAACTTAAACTTACATATATCTATGCCTTCTTTGAGTATATATTCACATATTAGCTACAATATATATATCTATGACTGAGTCACCTGTTAAAGTTAATCCTTTTAAGGATCTGTTTACATAATAAAGTGTGCCAGTGCTTATTAGTGCGAGGGAKAACTGTCCGTTTGCGATTTCAGGGAAAAATAACAAAATAACTGTTTTACCACAATTGGGTGAATTGTTGCATGCCAGTTAGAGTATGCCTAAAGTGTGAAACAATTCTTAGCTAATTAGTGCTAATAGTATCTATTTACTAGGGTCTAAAGAGTGTTCAAGTAACTAAGAATTCACTGAGGCATAAGCACAATGACTTGGAATCCAAAGACGGCTTTTATTTTCATTGCACTTCTTTTGTCGATTAGTCACTGTGTCTATTCTTAGACTATCCAGTATGTCTCAGCGAATTCTTAGATTATGCATGACGTGTGATACCTATAGGTCTATATATTTCAGTTTTATAGGGTGCAATCTAGCACAAGATAACTAACAGAGAAAGTTTGAAACTTTAAATTTGACACTAGGAAAATTGCACATTATACATTGTAACAAGATAAAAAGATTACTGATGTTTTCAGACATTTGTACTTTGTTGCAGTAAAAAGAGAGAGAGGTACATGTATGTTGCCGTAAAAAAAGAGAAAGTAACATCTGTTTTTTTAACATCTGTTTTTTATACTTACAACAGCAAGGCCAGGGTTAATTCATGTACTTTTGGAGAGCGCATGAAAGCATCTCTAAAATCCAATATGTTTCATCTGACAAACAGTTAATTGGTCATTATATGAACAAAACCATCACAAAAGCATTTATATGAATTTTCACAGCATTGTTATGCTTTCCTATTGAAATTAGAAGTTGAATACGTGGTCACACTAAGTGTCACACAACACTGAAATAAAAAAAGCCAGGAATTTTATATATTTTCTTGAATTATTGATGTTAAATACAACAAAGTACCAATTCCGTCTCAGGGCAAACAAGTTTTGATGACATATTTCTAAAGACATTTGGAGATTTTGGTTTGTATCTGGCATGTTGTTACACCATCAAGGTCAATACATGTACATTCTTGCCAAAATATACCTGCTGTTTGATTGGTTGTTACTCATCAACCAAACACTGTACTTCCTTCAAATTTGTACAAAATGTGTACTTTTTTGACTCTCAATAAAGATAGATACAAGGAACTTTAATGTACTTTTTCAAGCTGGTGATTTTGGTTAGTTGAGCTCTAATTATTCCAACTGTGTCAAAATAACATGACATACAAGCTGTGCTAACGTCGTCACTAAGCTGGAAAAAAGAGGGGTTCATGACATCATATATAATCAGTTTTTAGAAAAAAAAAATCAAAATTTGCATGTTTTGACTATTCAGATATACAACAACAACAATTATATAAAATATGGAAGCTTCATGATTTTTTGATTCTTGTTTATAAGGAAGCTCTTTAAA